CCCCCGGAATTTTAATTCGGAATTTTACCCCCAGAATTTTACCCCCGGATTTTACCCCCGAATTTTTACCCCCGGATTTTTACCCCCGGATTTTTACCCCCTGGCCAGATATATAAATTAGTGAGAATTAATTATCTTCATTCTGTTTTAATTTAACAGTAAACATTTCATTATTAAGTAGCCTACTGTATATTAATTTATTTGTAGCATTAACTAATCGAACAAGTTTTTAATTTTAATTTTGAGATTCTAGTATTAGGATTCGATCTTTGAAGCCAACAGTTGGTTAATATGGTGTATAAACAATCAACTGAATGATAATTGTTTCGAACATTTCTTTACAAAATAAATAAATAAAGATAGGCTACTAAATAATGAAATGTTTACAATTAATTAAAAACAGAAATAAGAAAATCAATCATTCAATTTCTAAAATCAGCCAGGGGGTAAAATTCCGAGGGTAAAAAGCCGGGGTTAAAATTCCGGGGGTAAAATTCCGGGGGTAAAAATCCGGCCCGTACATCTTTAGTTGTCTAAACGCTAGTTATATGGACAGGGGGTAAAATTCCGGTTTTCATCGCTAATCAAATTAATCACGCTCTAGCTATTTTCATTAGACTTCCAAATCCGCGGGGGAAAAATTCCGGCCGCGAACAAACTTTTGTCCACTCAGGTTTCTACGTCATAGTGACGTCAGCTTTGCCCAGGGGGTAAAATTCCAGGGGGATAAAATTCCGGCGACCCAATGACATTTTCGGAGTTGGATATGTTGTGTAGGTTAGATACATACACAACAGGGAGTGGAGGCGGTTATAGAACGAAAAAGGTGATAGCGCTGTTCATCGATGTTAACCTGGACAGCTGGGTCCAATTTTGAACCATTAAAAAGTTACCGACCTTTCACAGGATCGAACCGGGAACCTTATTACCTGATTATAAGGTCAATTATGTGTCCATCACCTACATTCACCTATACCACACACCATCACTACACCATCGCCATTCACCTACACAAGACAGTCCGATACATATTTGTTAACATTCTTCATCAATGAAGTGTGGTTTCAGATTGGAATTTTTAAACGTACGCCTCACCTAAATTCCAAGAGTATGGACCGTTTCTTTCACTTCATGAACACCTTGAGATATGTGATTTCTTCCCAGTTGTGTCCAACCCAATTAGACCAATTGACCAGGTCCGGCGTCGCACTTAAAGCTCTATAAGACATTTTATTACGCATTCCCATACGATATAGCCATCAGTAAAGCAATGGTGAGTGGCGTGTGAACTTTCTCCTGAGAAATGTAAATGTGATCCGATCTGACAGGTCCAGGGTCCAGTCCTCCAGCGTACATCCAGCGCGGCGCATTTGAAATGCTTTGTATATTGACTTATGTACAGGGACCGCGTCGATTTATATTTCTAAATTAGTTGTACACTAGTAATGGTAATATTAACGTATATTACACCACTACGACGTGATGCCTGCCGTACGTGTGAGCTACGAAGCAGTTCCTTTTGCAAATTGAATATTATAATATTGTTTGTTTATGCTTCGAAGTTTGTTTATATGTATACATTTGAATTGACACTGAGAATGGACAAACATGCAACAAGGTAATACTTTATGCAGATGGAGCGCGATTTGATGGGTTAGAAAGTAGCCTCGCGGTTATTTGCCTTGATCATAAGTGAGGTAGAGAGGATGTGTATAAAGATAAATCATATAAACGACTGAGGGAAAGTCGACCGGGTAGTAAACTGTAAAGCATGTGAGAAGTTTGTTGTGTCGCTTGTTTGTACAGCTTCACACTGTTAAACAAGATACTGGGTGTGATAAATAGCATTAGGTCCATAAAGCGAGTTTGGTTTTTAGTGTATGTAGCTCGTGTGTGTTTTACGTAATTAATGTTTATCTCGGTGTTTCAAGAGGAGAATATATTTTTACACACTATGTGGCAAGTCATTGCTGCCATAGCAGATAGCCATAGTCATAGTACACACCGGACACCGCTAGAGAGAGGCAACAGCTGCAACAGTTGTAGGAGTGACCTTGCTGGGGTCCAGGGTCACGTCCACAGATTATACCACTGTACTGTAGCTGCAGCAAATGGCATTGCTTGGCCTTCTGCACATACGTTGACCTTGCCTTTTGGGCGACCGCTTAGAACAAAGCATCTCCAGCTGTAGGATTACATTGGCGAACTTCATTAGGTGAATCAAAAATGGCTTATAGTTTATCACGATGGATACTATCTTGAAACGCAGTGTAGACTATTTATCATTTTAAACTACATCGTGTGATGATGTGGACACTTTCAATACCCCCGCCGCAGCAAACCTGCAGACTTAGCGAATTTCCATTTGCCTGATTGGATTTAAACTAAAATGTCTCCTTAAAAATATCACATTTATTCCCTATTTAAACAGAATTAGTTTAATGAGTACTTAGGTTTGCTGGAACAGGGAGGGTAAAAAAGTTTTTTTTATGTAAAATGTTAAAAGGTACTGTGGTTTAGTAAGAAATTAATGTATTTTCCAAATTTTATCAAAATATGTTCATAAACAAGCAAACTACAACAGTTGACTTATGCTCCTCCATAAGAATAACATGGGAATTTTAAAATTACAATTTTTTTGAATTTTCTCCGTAACAATTAGGCGCATAATAACGCTTCAATATACTAAATTATTTGTTTTTTTAAGCTCTACAAAATGGTTTAAAAAGAAATTGTGAAATGTTGTGTTTTTAGGGTCAAAAATGGGAAAAACCTATTTTTACCCCATAAAACCCCCCATAAACCCCCGTTCCCATAGTCCGATCATGCTGGTTCGCGAACTCATTCAAGTTTATCCCGCCTTACACCTTCAAACCAAATTAGATCAATATCGGACAAAAATTACTGAAGTTATCGTGCGGATGGACACATATATATATATATATATATATATATATATATATATATATATATATATATATATATATATATATATATCTATATATAGATATATAAAAATTTAAACGAATGGTGTTTTTGGCCTCTGGGGACATCAAAATGAAAAAGTAAATCGGTCCCGGGCTTAGGTCTTACCATGAGACCTACGGTAATAGCTACTTCCCTATAGGGAAATTCGCTAAAACGACGAGAATGCGTTTGTTTCTTTGTGAAAGTATGTACAGTATACCTTTTGTCTTTTCTGGCGTGGCAGTTTGTGCGTAGTAGCCATGATGAACTAGACAGCACAAAACTCTATGGAATAAACAAATGCAATATGATAATCGTCGTTCCTCTCAGTGCGAAAGGCCGCTGTTTGCCGGAAGCACTGACTGATGCTGACGCCGCTCGCCGGTGCCGTGTGCTGAAGGCTGAACGCTGACGCAACTCAGCGCGGTCGTCCACCTCTGTCTGCTGAGTCCTGACTGCAGAGTTACTCCAAATGAAGTCATGGCATGGGTGGGAATAGTACGTGTAATTACGAAAGCTATCGCACGTATGAGCGGTTTATATAACAGCCCTAGGGCAGTTTCCCTACAAGGAAGTCTGGAAAGCCTTCACCTGCTTTGCTTCTGTTCAATGCTGCCAACCCTTGTCCGTCAAGCGACACACCGCTGTTTCCAATCTTCATTAACGATGTTTCAAAACGCCATTTTAATTTCATCGAAGGTGTTCGGGTCAGGCGATTCTTATATTTGTAATTAATTCCGTTATGAAACCGAATCGGTTCTATTAGCTTGGTCACGATTAAGTTGCACGTACGTTGTTTGTACAGTTGTTTGATAGTGGTTGCTGGGTTGCTACACTCATGTGGTTCTATCTGGAGCAGAGAAGCTGTGATAAGACGGTTCTAGACTCTAGAGGTGAAGTGTTGGCTTATCACAGCGGACCCAGCTGTTTATCATTCCAGTTCTGAGAACCTTGCAGTCTGTATATAGTATACACTCCACTACGACTACAACACCAGACCTAAGGCCTACACTGGCGTCCACAACTGCTTATTTATACTGGTGCTATCGGGTTAATGGTCAGATAACCTCGTCCCGGTATCTTGTCGTCGTAATTTACAGGGTTCTGATTTGAGAAACGCCAAACCTCGTCGACTCTCAAAATGTTGATATCGCTGAAAGTGTCTAGACGACATTCCTCTCCGATTTTTGCTTTGACTAATCGTCAAAGTAATTTCTCAATGTTTGTCATATTTTATTTAGATTTCTTTCCGCCTTTGTACAAAGGTACGCATGTTCCTCATCATTATTCCAAAAGCTTAGTGATCGGTGTTTCCATTTTGTTTGTTTATTTGTGCTTTCATTGTTTATTTGTTGTCAAGTCTGTAAAACGAAAAAATCACGAGATACAGCATCTAATCAATTTCTCTTAACCCTTGGTTCCACGAATCCTAAAAAATATTTTTAAAAAGTATTTTTCTAGTATTCGTGCTTGGTTCGAATAATAAATACTGCTACAAGACAAATATCGTGTCGAAATTGTTCAGTTCACCATAAGTTGCTCAACTTTGTAATACTCGACACCACTCGTTTACGGTCAACAAATTTGATGGTGGTTTTGGCGGCCGCAAATCGCCACTCGATACGTGGACGTGGTGACGAAACCCCAACTTGGGCAGAAACCCGCGAGGAGAATACGGTGGGGGCACGGGACCTCCCTGGAGTGAGGTGTGCTTAGCAGTCAACACACTAACTAACATAGACCATTTTACAATTTTACACAATCTAAGTTCCTGTAAATGTTTAGAACTATCTATCAACAAATAATCACGATTGGGATACACAATGTAGAAGGCGATTGACGCGGAGATTTGTCCAGTACAGTATCATGTGTCGTGAGTCGTCTGTCTGGACAAGAAGAGTCGATGAACCTGCTTCACAGATACATCAGTCACTCGAGGTGTGTCAGGCCTATCACTGATAAGGCTGTTTGTACTGGTGATAACACGTCCTTCCATCGCCCAGTCGTCTTCCTTCTTCGCCTTCCCAGTTCTCATGACTACGATGTTGATACGTTCAAGGTACAAGTGTTTGTGCCGGCAAAGCTTCCAAGCGTATTCAATTGTTCGATCGCTAGACCTACTAACGCAAATATTACCTATGAGTTTAGTGTTACAATTTGCCATCTCAATATCAAGCTGATGAGTTGATTCAAATACTAGCTTCCTCTTTTTGAGCCTCTGCAGGTATGGGGATAACGGACCAACTCTATTGTCCGTTCGTTTTAAAGATGAGCATTGAAACAATTTACAAATTTAAATCATTGTGTATTATTTTCAGTTAAGGAAAAAAGTAAAAGGAGACAGTAAATTCAACCGCACATTTCACAGCCCAAATTCTGCGGTTTGTGGTTGGGTTTAGTTAACTCGCGTTTTCGGGAGCCGAGGTTTGTCAGCCATCTCGGGCCAAGGCGTTTCTCTCAGACAGATTCGCTGAAGCACTCGTTTAACTGTCAGTGTAGGTAGTGTGTAGACGGTGTAGAAGAGGATGAGTATTCGGCGAACGTTCATTTTCCGTTTCGCGAGTCACGCTCGGCTTCCTCCAATTTGCCGCCGGATCAAAACCACATCATTTAGTACGTGAGTGGCGAGTGGCCGAGCACCTGCACTGAGCACACACTGGCGGGGATATCTTAATGTTTAATGTACAACTGATTGCTGTGAAGTGGCGAGCAACTGGTGTAGATTGTAGGGGAAGTAAATACTGTACACTCAAGGTAAAGACAATTGTCTGTTCCTTGTAATTTGTTCTACGAAAACATGTGAAAATGGGGAAATAATGCAATTGAAGTTTGTGCTAATAGTAAAAAGTTATAGCATAACCTCCCTTAATCAAGATACTCTTGCTTTCAAGGATATTTTCATTGAGGTTCTGCCGTACTTTTAAAAATATGTATTAATATACCAATCCCGTCATTCTCGTGTATTGTATCAATTTACTACGTTATCTCATACACATTTTCGGTTCCAACGTTTATTAGAATAAATAAATATTCTCTGTTTTAGTTTAAATCTGTGCTTCGGTACGATCGTATTTGCAGAGAAATGGCTCTGTGGATTGCGTAGTATTGTCTAATGATTTAACCATATCATTGGTCGATTTCGACAGTGGTGAAACAAACTCGTGACCCCGCCAGGCTGGTCAACCAATCAATCCGTTTGTTTCGGCGAGATCGACGCCAGCGCTCCGAGCGTTCATTCCTGCATTAATTGCGTTATTCTGACCAGTAGAAAGTGCGGTAATTAAACCAGCTCGGTGCCCAGAGTGTTGCTAATGATCGGCTCTGAGCTCTCTACACCCTGGCCCCGGACCTCGCTGTTTAGGGACGCTGATTATCGCAGTGGTAAATACGTCTCGCGTTAAGGTTGATTTATGTCTTAAAATATGCGTTATATCAAAGCGACCAATATTAATATCCATTTCTAGTACTAAACGAACGCGGGCTCTTAAGTCTTAGCAAAATTGGCTTACGTAAACGTGGCATCTTCTTCTTTGAGTCATGAATAAGCGAGCATTTGCAAAAATATGCACAGCTCGTAAATATGGTGGGAACGCGCTCCCATACAGTGCTGCATAAATAACTCGCGCATGCCATCCTAGTCCATCCATATTATTAGCAGATGAGATACAGCCGTGCGGCGAAGGTGAAGTCAACGACTGAGGCTGGGCGGGTCTGCTGGGGCTCCTCAACATGTTGACAACTGACTGAACACTGAACAGCCAACGACATTACTGTGCTACCCGCAGTTATTGACAAATATGCGGGAATTTAAAAAGGCGAGATACTCTGTCGACATTTAACAAATAGCCAAACGTCGTAAAATGCTATAAATGTTTTTATTCCCCGTAAATTGAATAAGAAAACTACAGTAGGTCTCATGGTTAGACCTGGACCCGGGACCTATTCGCTTTGATCACACAATCCGTTCAAATTCATATACATATTTGTGACTCGAGTTTATGTGACAACTCTAGTTTTCACTTCAAGATTAGAATTCGATACAAACTGGTGAACCTACTTTGTTCGAACGAGTTCATCGCGGGTCAGCATGATCGGACTATGAGTACGAGGGGTTTAGAGGGAAACAATTGGGAATTGGGGTTTCTAATTGTTGACCATCAAAACATGAAATTTCGCAATTCCTTTTTAAACCAATTTGTAGAGCTTAGAAAACAAATTAGTTAGTACATATAAATTTAGGAACTCACAAAACACCTGTAAATATAAAATTGTCAAGGTTTTCAGGCGAAATAAATCAGGTGAATTTGGAAATTCGCCTCGTCTGTAAATACCCCGCTCATAAATTGACCAGTTATCATTTGCTTCGAAAACATCTACTGTATATCTATACCAGGCCATGAATAATCTCTGTACTCTACTGAGAAAAGATTGTCACTTGAATTGTTTAATCTTAATAAAAGTGCTTGTACATATTAGAAATGAAATTAAATTCTTAAGTCATTGTATGGAAAAAACTTCAATATGTGACATGGTTCAAGGCGCAATCAGTTAAAAGACGGCTTCTTTGATCTGATTTGCAATCATTTTTATTTTTCAAACGACCTTGTCCTTTCGCAGAACAATTGATAAGTGCTAACTTTTCGGATCATCTGCTTCGGTTATGACCTCCAATCCGACTTCCCAGAGAGCAATCAATTTTTGTTCAACGTCATCTCGTAACATGCATTATTAATTTATGACTAGTTTAAACGTTTGAATTCGGTTGACTTAATGCACACATAATGACGTTCTTTTATTTACTAAGCTCCACTAAAACGGAATCTCTCTGTCGAATATGAGTATATCGAGACCAGCGAGCACAGAATATAAATCGAGACACACGTGGTTGCATATTCTCCTCTTAGTTTGGGATTGGCCTTTCAGTAGACATGAAGGTTTCGAAGTCTAAGTACCAAAGTCGTCAAGTTTGTAATGTGTAACGTCAAATGCAGATTTTTTGACTGGTCCGTTTGTCAGTTTCGGTTTATGACAGGCCCGATGGTCCAGCGGTCGTCGCTCTGTCAGTTTCGGAGGATGACAGGCCCGATGGTCCAGCAGTCGTCGCTCTGTCAGTTTCGGAGGATGACAGGCCCGATGGTCCAGCAGTCGTCGCTCTGGCAGTTTCGGAGGATGACAGGCCCGATGGTCCAGCGGTCGTCGCTCTGTCAGTTTCGGAGGATGACAGGCCCGATGGTCCAGCGGTCGTCGCTCTGTCAGTTTCGGAAGATGACAGGCCCGATGGTCCAGCAGTCGTCGCTCTGTCAGTTTCGGAGGATGACAGGCCCGATGGTCCAGCGGTCGTCGCTCTGTCAGTTTCGGAGGATGACAGGCCCGATGGTCCAGCGGTCGTCGCTCTGTCAGTTTCGGAGGATGACAGGCCCGATGGTCCAGCGGTCGTCGCTCTGTCAGTTACGGAGGATGACAGGCCCGATGGTTCAGCGGTCGTCGCTCTGTCAGTTTCGGAAGATGACAGGCCCGATGGTCCAGCAGTCGTCGCTCTGTCAGTTTCGGAGGATGACAGGCCCGATGGTCCAGCGGTCGTCGCTCTGCCAGAGAAAGTCACCACAAGGATTTTCTTCTGCTCTCCCACGCGCGTCTAGTACGTGATTCCCAACCTGATGTTTTAATTTGGTTCATATTACCTACATTTAGGTTTGTAACCGCAGGTTTGAAAACATATTTTCCTCGTTGTAGTTGTGTTTGACGTTCAGCTACAGTGGAAGTGCTATATAAAACAACGTTATTATTTGTAAGCCAACTGGCCATTTTCACCCTTATTTCGGATGTTTGAATATTTAATCCGCACCAATAACTACATTAGACACGGGTCCGGTTCGGAACCGATTGATTTAGACGGGCCGACATCGCCATCGCCGCTCCTTCTCTATTGACCCAGTCCATCGTCGGATGACGCTCCACTTTTTATTAATGTGTCCTTTGTCCCCGGGAGAAAGTGTGATGGCCCTGAGCATATCTGAGGACCGAAAGCATCGCGAATTCTCCTACTAGGCTATATAATATATTTATCACCTCTCGTTGTATCGTGCCGCGGGCTCAGTCCATATACTCGCCCTGTCATCGAAGGCGGCTCCTGTGTAAAATGCAAACTCGGTGCATCCAGTTAACGCCGTCCGCCCAAACTCCATAAAAGATAATAACGTAACTGTCTTACGCCCCGCTGTTTATACGGTTTACGTAAACTTTGTATTTTACGCTCGTTTTATTACCGGCTGTTTCTCCCAACAACAGAGCTGAGAGCACTAACCCGGAGTCTGAGCCTGTAGCCAATCTGTATCGCCCCCTACTAGCAGCCCAGCGCCGCCGCCGCCGCATGCAAATAAGACCTGTTCTACCGCGATCATTTATCTCCAACCATCTATAAGTTACTTTTCGATCTTCTTTGTGGTCGTTTCGAAATTGCCAAGTGCTGTTGGGTCACTCGCAGTGTAATCTTATCATTGCCTTAGATTTGTATTTGTACCTTGATTCATATTTTTATAATATTTGATTTTTACCTACCATATTCCGGAGATGTTGTGGATGGATATATCGGTTCTCGTTTTTCTATGATGCAGACTATCTTGCATCACTTTGTCCATAGTCACACTTGTGTATTGACAATTAACGAAATTTTAATATATGATTTCTGAGAATAGTATAAATGAATCACTAAACCTGTGTATTTATACAATTAATTGAGAAGATGACAACAACCACCACCACCAGCTAAGAACCACTGTACCACTGTAGCTAAGAATTGATTACATACATTTTTTATGCAAAACCACCCACGGATTTAATATACATTGCTGGATCGGACAGCACTAAACATCATTCTCATTGTAGATTCAGAGATGATACACAACTGATCATATGTCCTCAGGTCGTCACTCAGTCTCTAGATAAACAACAATAAATCTCTCTTATCGATTCACTATCCACTTTCTAGTCACGGTATTCGTTCGACCCCACAGATGGTGTCCAATCCTTCAGTTTTATTTCGTTACAAATCGAATTGAAACTGTCCATTAATCACAGACTTGACTAGGCATAATGTTACATGTAATTGATTTTATAATCCATACATGGAGTGTCGACTTATCGTTTACAATGAAAAAACGTGACGTGTCTTTGTTATGTGACAAAACAATTTCATGCTGCAGTATCAGAATGAATCACGGACTGGTTTTACTGTTAACAATTCAATGGGAGCTAAACATAGAGAATTGACTTGAATACCAAAACTTTCTCTATAAAACACGACAGAACTAATGGTACAGTTGTAAAAAAAATTGAATACCGTATTGGCGCAATCACAGTTTTTGCTAAACAAAGAGCAGGGCAATTGGGATGAAGTAAAATCAACTGATGATCTCTGAAAGTTTTGGACATTCATCAAACTGAATCGCGTTACGAAAGAATCCACCTCTCCTTACGAAAATCCGAAGATTTGAATTGAAAAGGAAAATGAAACCAAATTAAAACTCCTGAGTACACTGAAATCTTTGAGAGGATTTCCATTTATCGTAGTAAACACGCACTGTGTTACCAGTTGAAGAATTTGTCAATTGAAATTGAATCAGCGAATAGATTATTTAGCCATTGGAGGTTACGAGAGACGTATAACAGCGATTGAAGTTGTGCACTATGCCATCGGAGTATCTAAACATCTGAAGTATCTGAGTAGTATTTGAAGGAGGGTTTCCTTATTTTCAACTTAAAAAGGACTAGTATGAGATTCTTTATCCTACGTTCTGCTACACACACTTTTTATGATTATTCTTGAGTGGTTTCATCCTGGGATTCGGCACCAAGTCTAAAATCTCCTAGTTTATAAACATCGAGTGTCTCAGTCATACAGATGCAAAGTTCTTCGTAGTCGTATTCAAATTGTTATTAGAAAACGTTTACCATAACCTCATTAGACTTGAAGATCGGATGTCCAATGTTCAGTGGATGTGTAGTTATGTTCAAGAGTCATTTCAACAAGCGCCATATTATATTGTATTCACGTTCTCATTATCATAATTGAATCGCAATAGGCCTTCGTCCGCGGACTCGACTGAGACTATAGGGATCAGCTTCAGATTCAGTTTCAGATGTACAATAGAGACAGCTCTGCACTTTTCATTTACATAATTGAGGCTGCAGTCGATGTCGCTGGGCAGTGTGTTGTGGAGAAGTGCGTGGCCGCGACAAGCTGCGAGAGCCACGCCCGGACAAATACAAGACAAGTCCGACTCATAACCCTCTATTTATTATGCTAACACGTCGTTACTGTGTCTAAATCAACTTCCATCGACCCACGGCCGATCGTTTCGATCTCTGTTAACACGATCGACATCGGTCTTAGTAATGTAGACCGTGTTATATTGTCAACACCGGCTATGGACGGACAAGCACCGGGTGCGTTAGATTCTTACATTATAACAGCCACCAATGATAGCTTGGAAACTCTCGGAAATGTGTTTTCGATACTCCGCTTGGAGGAGTGTTGGTCTTCTGTACCGTATGGCGCTGGTGTAGGGCGGACCGCGGACCAGATGTATGTCGGGTCACATCGGCATGCAAGCCTCGTGGCTCTCTGTTCCTGGAACTCCGTGACCCGCTACTGCTTCTGTCTACACCACACACTACTGCAGCACTCCACACTCTACACCTGCTGTTGCTGCTATCTCTGATATCTACATTGGCCAATCTCCCCTTTGTCCTCCAGATCAAGATTACCGGCTCCCAGCTATTTAGAAACTAGCTTTCGTGACAGAGAGTACTCTATCTTCAAATTCCATCTTTTTAGAATCCCGTATGACGGTTTTTGGTATTCATACTCTTCAAAAATGACGCAGGACATTCTTGACCACCGGCACTAAACATATAGGTACTAAAAATGTTTTGTTGAACTGTTTTATAAGTATTTTTTCACTCTAGTATTCAGCGTGTATATTTATGGAATCAAGTTGACAGCAAGTTTTGTGGAATGTTTGGCAGTCAGCAGGGCCTGCTTGTGCTAAATCTGCTTTAAAATATGCTTAAATACACATAGGCATATTTAATTCAGAATCATCACTAAATATAACATTTACTAGCAATGGCATTAGCTTAGATATGAACTTTTAATCTATATATTTTATCTCATTGGTGGCCATTTTTGAAGCTCGAGCTCATTCCCGATTTTCACTTTCCACATTTCTCTTATCCACGCGTAGGTGTCATGTCCATAGATAATTGAAATGTATCTTATTAAAAAGTATCCTAGCCCTAAAGGTAAATGGGAAAGCCACGGATGGATGGTAAACGTACATTAGTCTGCTGAAGAGGTGAAACGTTTCCAGGTAAACATAAAGGTGTAGGTAATTCTGATAAGGTAACGGTGTTGTTGATAAGGCGGTAACATTGTGTCTTACTCGCGCGTGTAGCTCTACCGTGTCAGTAACTAACTGTACCAGTCTCCTCTCGAACATGTTATGTGTTCACAACTTAACTTGACTTGTGGCCTTCCTTCTCTTGTCTTGATAATCCTTATCTCCTATTGGTAAAGCAGTATCATAATACATATGTTTTATATTAGACCCAAAAATTGCAACAGGAACTAAAAACTAAAAAAGAGCTTAAAGTTTGAAAATGTACATGGTATAAACCTGGTGCAAAAAGAACCAAAACACACAAAACTTGACTTCATACATTCCTGTGCTCGTTACCAATTCAAGGTAAATAGGAAATCGCAGCTTTGGCATGTCCTCTGGTTAGTTATGTGTATGTGAAGATTTCCCAGTAAATGAGACAAGTAGTTTGGCTAGATGATCTCACCCCGTCAGTGGCAGTATACTGAAGGCCGCCGAGCCACAGAGCAGTGCACTGCCCGGCTCCGTCTATCTTCCTTGGTTTACGCAATGTGGCCTAATCGCCGTCTCAAACACTACATTATCATAAGAGCCGAGTGACCTTGACTTCTCTTCCTCGTCTGATGCCTGATGCCTTCCAGGATTCCTTTCTCGCCCATCCGGTATTCGGCGCGCTCACTGTTCACTCGCTGTAGCGCACTTGCATAAATCAATGTCAGATTGGCTTCACTTGAAAACGCTTTAAATCAAGTGTATTTCAAGATCCACTACTGTAGGTGTTAACCGTACACTATGTATGGATAAGCTGTATAATCAAATACAGTCTACGATACGGATAAAGAGCGACCCTCTCCTTGTCGACCTTGTCTAATTTCCCCTAATTAACTTTATTTAACTCTTTACACGTAACTCTTCGTATACTTGCTAAATAGCTACAAAACAGCGATGAAACTTATAGTAATAAAACATGTCATCTCTAAACTCTAATAATAGCATTTGAATTGTAAGTATTGTTTTTACAGACACCCTTAAACGCTCAAGTGTTATCCTCATCAAGGGAAAGGTTTTACCGTTATAGGACTAAAGTGGTTTGGAAACGTAGGTACTTTATGCTTAAAATTTGTCTACATACAAGAAGACGTTAAAGAGACTTTAACGACTACGACAACGAATATGCCTTGAAACTGTAAACGTCCTCGAGGTGTGTGTCCCTCTTTAACCAGTGCGATATAAAGTTTGAACTGATTGAATAATAACCATTTAAAAATGTTGTAAACTCAAAGAACATTGGGTATCTACTACATGATGCATTTCGTAATGTAACGAGAAATACATTTTGAAACTACCTATGAAGATGGCCAAAAAAGGTGTTGTTTAAAGGTATGTGGGGTATTTTTTAGTTTACTTTCTTCCACAGACGAGTTTAGATAGTACAGTAATAAACTTTCTTGAATATCTTATTAATGTTTGTGGTAAAACTTACTTATACGCTCCTGTCAGATAAACAGATAAACTTTTATTAATAAAAACCGTCGATATCTCCAGCATTACATACATCGACAGTCCAAATGTCATTCTGTGCTCTCTGCCAAATAACAATACGCATAATTTATCAGTGAGAAAAATGTACAATAGATGAACTCAAGCTAATCTTTTTTTTATAAAACAGTAAATTAATGTTTCTTTTGTTGGTATTACAGACACAACTTGCATAACATAAGTACAATACTGTTGCAATTAACAAGCCAATATTACTGTACGCCGATAACGTATTTGCACATTAGTTTCACATTTAGTTAGTAACTGTGTAAAATTTTCTACATTTAGACGAGCTGCGATCTAGTTCACTTTTTAGGTAGGCTACTCAAAAACTCATAGAGACTTAATTTCTTATATCGCAGTGGTTCGTAATTATTACGTATACGTTATAAATAGCTATTGTACTAGTAGTCGCCTGCTATATAATTATCCTTATCTACATACACACGCACAACTACTCGCAAGACAGATGCAAAGAATGGATATAATAAATCAGCAGTCAGCTAGGTGCGAAGATACAAACCCACTGCAGGTTTTCAGCAGCAGTAATGTTCAGCTAACACGTTGTTTAGCATAATATTCCTAACTCATGCCAAGGCCGCGACGCGACGTCGTCTGCTTGCTCAGCGACAGCGACTATCCTCGGTATTTGTGTAACTAATGATTCGTCCAAACCACTTAATGTTATTTGAGTTAAGCGAAAAATTCTTGTTAGGTACATAGCAACCTTCTGTAAAATATCTCTCCGTCGACGTCGTCCTCGGACAGCCTCGGATTCTATTTCTACAACAAGCGAGCGGGCAGTGCGCGGACTTGTCTGGAAGCTATAAAAGGGCAGGAACCCTCCGAAACGCCCATCAAAATCTAAATCTGCTCTAAAACGCAGTCTCAGTCGGTTTGGTGTTGTTTAAATCGACCGTTACTTCCTCTACGAGTTTCGTCAAGAATATAACCAAAACCTCGGAACTGTGATTTGATAGTTTACACTGGCGTGTTTTAACAACTTCTTTTGTGTGTATGCAACTCGAAGCGTAATAACTGCAAATAAAACTGTTGAAATGTTCTCACAATCGTTAATTTGTAATTTTCTTGGTATTTTTACTGGCTGTTTAGATAAGCGGGGATTCGCCTTGTACGGTATCGTCTATCGGTGGACCATGGTACTGCGCTGATAGCTGATGACCCGCCTAGCAGTCTGGTTCTATCAGACTATTGTACTGTAGTCTACTCTACAATAGCCACTTTAACTGTGTGAAGTATCTCAATCATCTACTCTCACCTCCCGTTATCACCCATAAAGTGTGTCAATCACTTCCACTGATAACACAAACCAAATAGTAATCAATCACACATCAGTTAGATTGAGGTCGGTAAGGTCTTAGTAGACGTTAATAGTCAATGTAAGTTAGAGCGTGGAAATCCTTTTTGCGAGTGTAGCTAAAACTGCCAATTAATGCAATGCAGGGTTATACAGCACCAAGTAACTGTAAATAGGTTTATAGAATTAAAACAATTTCAAATATTACTAATTCGCTGGATTTAAATGTTCTTTCATGTAATCGTTTTGTTGCTCGCAGCGAACACAGGTTGCACGATAAAAGGACAAATTGTCTTTAAAAATTTATTTTATCTGGCGTTTCTGCATCAAAATAAACTTTCCCATTCTACTATTTGTTTTGTCTGGAGTCGGCTTAATAAAACAGAAAACGCCTTTATCGATAAAAGTTCAAAGTCGTCAACATGTAATTGGTACACCACAGCCTTCTTTGAACATTTCCTTGATCGGTTCGTAGTAAACAAATGTGTCAAAAGTCCAATGATTTCGCTTAAAAACAAATTGGCAGTCAAAGATTAATAGCATCATTATCAGTGAAGTGATAATGAATTACGTGTAGTCTTTGTTTCAATACTACATAATAACTCCTAAGAAGGTCGAGATCACTGATCAGTGTGTTGAAACACATACAATGTTTCTGTCGTTTGTTTCAGTCTTATTTAAAACAGCCCTCTATGTTTCTTCACATTCTTCCAGTATACATTTTAAGGGTAGGCTACACTAAAAGATGCAATACTGTATCTATACACGTATCACATCAAGAGAGATGTTGGCAGCATCTCTCTGAACACACACCTCTACACAACTATAAGGTTGTTTTGTTTAGTTTCGTCTAATCTACAAGTAATCTTCTCTAGAAGCTTTAGGGCCAGCAGCATATTCACTCATTGTTGTTTAAGGTTGTTTGTTTAGTGCTCCTTTTTGTCTAAGGCTGGTTTGTCCATCATGCAGTTTTCCTCCATGCTACGTACGTCTCTAACAAGGCCCTGTTTGCTCCGGATCAGTCTACAGTTGCGCAAGACGTCGTGGTCCTCGATACTCTCGATCCCCCATGACTCCGACATTGTTTATTCCACAATAGCCCTCAATTTGCGAGCTCTTTGTGCAAATGCCAGTGCAATAGACGACGTCCAGGCACTGTTACGTAACCACGGCCTCTCGCCTTGTAGTCCTGCCTAGAACAATGGAAACTGCTTGTGTGCAGACGTCACTCGTCATCGCAAACAATCCAACTTTTACCCGTCGTTGAGCGATTTGTATTGCTGAATGATGCAGATGCGTTATGCCTCGTCTAGAAAATAATGAAAGCAAACTCTGAGCAGAATAGCAACTAACGATACAAGACGGATGAGCATTAAATCAGTGTCATGCTCTGTCAGATTGATACCTTTTGGTCTAGTATAGTGCATATACTTTTTAGAGTGTAGACCGCTTTTCCGCGAACTACCTGATTCGTGAGTGAAGATGAAAAGATCTGGTGATTAGCTTTGTAGTTGTTATAGTAGTTTGTGTTCATTATTATGATCAGATATAACTCTTGGTAGGTCGATTCCAGCAGTAGACCAACAAGCCTTGACGTCTGGGCTGCAGCTTTAGTTGGGTCACGATAGAAAAAAGCTAAGGGGGCGGAGAACAATGAAGTGACCTTCCCCGCACACGTGCACATAGTACAGCCCCAGCATCTCGGCTCGGCTCTCCCGGGCCTACACACCAAGGCACAGTGCAGCGCACACGGTACAGCACAACACAGGGCAGCTCATCACAACACACAACAAAATACTACACTGAACGACAAAGGACAACAAGACAAGACTTAATACAACTAAACACATCACATAACACAGTAAAGCTCATCACATCACACAACTCGGCACATCACAACACATAACACAGTAAAGCTCATCACATCACACAACACGGTACAGCACGACACAACACGGTACAGCTCGTCACAACACACAACAAAACATGACTCGGATCGACACAGTACATCACGACAAGGAACAACATTACAAGACTTAGCAGACTTAACATAACACGGCACAGCACTGTGCAACATATGAATCGCAGAACAACACGGCTTGGTACAATTAAAATCTCAGCTTAAGCTCCTAATTACTCATATACGTGTATTATTTCTCAAAATAGCAAATGCATGAACATGAAACTAAATAAAAACTACTGCAAACTACTGCCTGGGTTTATTCAAGTGAAGGCAATAGTGTTGTAGATAGGTACATAAAGGAATGCATTCAACCTCTCAATGAGTCGATTTTCCTCAGCAAGAGCACGGCGGCGGCGGTTCAGTCGTAACCGCCTCAGTCGAGAGGTTGGGCAATACGATTGGGACGTATTTGGTTAACACAATAAAACACGACACCAAGCTGTTTTATATCGACTCTGACACAGACAAGCGTGTAGAGGAGGTTCGGAGCAGTCGTGGAATGTGAACTGTCTCGTCATTTATCGAAAAGAAGACATTCTTGACCAGGTTTACATCGACCACCGGACCCGGACCACTCCACTCCACTCTCTAATATCCTTCACAACCAGTCAAGATCCTATCTCTGATGCTTCCATTTTAGTATTTATCTTCCGACATTCTCGTTATGATAATCCGATCACAGTATTAGTCAGTTTAACTTACAATGTATGGCAAAATGTATAGAGAGGTATGTTTGACCTTTTCAATCTTGAAGGGCATCTTAAATGTTTAGCTTTTTTACTCCCCGCTTAGTATAAAAAAAAACAACCTACCATTGACGGAGTCAATCTTTGTGTTCCTCTCTTCAGACCCTGTGATGTACAACTTAAGTCACCTCAGTATACAGACACTGTATCGTGTCTAGTGTACTGAACACTGTTGTTATAACCTATGTTGTTCTGACCAGTGTAGGCCAATGTTAATGTTGTTCTGACCAGTGATGTTCTTGCCAGTGTTGTTCTGGCCAATGTTTTTCTGACCTGTTTTGTTCTGACCACTGATGTTCTGTTGCAGGACCAGGATGCTGCACTGAGAGTCTGCCTCCTCCTCACCACACCAGGTAAGCCTCTGAAATATTATAATCCTAATTGATAACGATAACGCGCCGCCCGCAGCTCGAGCCACAAAAACTCTGATGTATGGAAGTTGAAAGTTGAGAAGCGTTATCTCCTCCGTCCCCGCATGGTAATCGTGCCTATTTATTTCATGAGATCTTGTAAGACCCCAACGCAAGATTAATTCTAGAATAATAGCAGGCGTTTTCTACATTCATGTGTCATCTTTAAGTGTAAAATGTAAATTATCAATAAATCCTGATTGTAGTAGCAGGAATAATGAGCTAAATTCAAGGGGTTTTTAATAAATTTATACTTTTAAAAGACAAAATACCACTCACTCACTTACTGATCACTACATCTAAAAAAACTCAAAACCATAAGAAATCAGGAATCGGAATGGAAGTTCCAATTACGCTCTAGGTGTGCAATAAGAAGCGTTTTCAAGAGATTCCTTCATGGTTTTTAGTTGATTCTTTAGTTGTCAAACCCAGAATAAAACATCGTGCAAGGTTTTTATGTTACTTTAAGATACATACGATTTTCGATAACGTTATGGGAGAACTTACAGGACTATTGGAAATGTAGGTTTAAGCGTGTAAACCTATGTGAAAGGAAATACAGCGGGAATAGTTTTCTTGCCAGAAACATTATGTTGGTGGTTTGAGAGTGAGCAGTCCGAATCTCCTGGAGGAAGGACAGTTAATATTGTAAATGAAGAAGTTCTCTTTTAGTAAAACTTAAGTACTTACATACTGCAATGTCAAACATCGTGAGCAAAGCCATGACGGGGTAAGCTTGTGAATTATAGTGTTTGCATAGTGTTTATTCTACGTGTATTTGCAACACTGTGCGTGTGTGCCCCTGCAGTTCTACATATGTTTCATGAAAAAACAATACAGTATTTCAATACATAAAATGAATATACAGTTCAATATCTCAGTAGCATTGCATAATGTTGTCTCAACTATTTAAAGATTTAAAACCTAACAGTATTGATTAATGGACCAGTTAGACTTTGTGACTAGTTAAATTTGTAGTGAAAATTTAACAACATGTAAAGTACTTAAATTCAGTACAACACAGCCCTTGAACGTTTTAAAATAATTTTTCTATAAATCCACTACAAGATAACAATTTTATAGACTCTTAATTGTGAAATTCGTTTGGATGTACATTTACTGTTTGACTACCCATGTTACTTTCATTCATACATATTGTATAAAACTAACATGCATCAGTGATAATTGTGTGTACAATGACTCAAATGAAACTGGTCTTCATTACGTGACACACCATTTCACTAGATACAATTGCATTACTGGAGTGAAATGACCAGTGATTTCCATGAACAGTAATTTGATGAGAGATAGATTCCTAGATAAACAAGCAGCACTAATGACGACATGGTGTAATAACAGCACTTCACATCTAGAGAGGCAATGTAAGTAATCAGGATCAAGATCAGGGATGTGAGCTACTTCAGTGTGAGGATGAGGATATGAGAGTCAGAGTCAGGCAACGCCAACATGCACTACTATTACTATAGTCCAACATTAGTGAAGTAATTATTGTCTGTAGCATGCTAAAAATGTTCAACTCTAGCTCTATAGATATTGTACACCTAATTCTTAGGAGATTCGTTGCTACTGTAGATCTGATCGAATCAAAATCCCAAAACAGATTTTTTTTGTTTCAACCATGTGTAAATAACGATGCCTCAATCAAAAAGAGAATCAGTACAGGTAACGGTTCTTTTACTTTCATACAGAAAACAATATTTACCACTATGTATGTTATTCTAACGAGACTGTATTTGGAAATGATAGTAAATAAAACTGTAATAATTATAGGCCAATAATTAAACATCACATGGGTTTTGAGTGTGGCAAGAGAATGTACCGTACTAACCGCAGTGTTACTTCGTATGATCTCTTGTAGACGAGGCACGCTACCAGGTGAATGTCACTGACTTCGTTGTCTTAACTGTTATCACGAGTGGTGACACAGTGTGCGCAAACCTCTTCCACAACCACTGTGTCACTACGTATAATAACATATCAATATCACGTGACTTCACTAGGTGTTGTATTATCTGTTATCACGCGTGGTGACACAGTGTGCACAAACCTTATCTGTTATCACGCGTGGTGACACAGTGTTCACAAACCTCTTCCACGACCACTGTGTCACTACGTATCATGATAAGAGATAAGATAACACCCAGAGTAGTCACGTGACTTCACTAGGTCTTATCTGTTATCACGCGTGGTGACACAGTGTGCGCAAACCTCTTCCACAACCACTGTGTCACGACGTATCATGATAAGAGATCAGATAACACCCAGAGTAGTCACGTGACTTCACTAGGTGTTATCTTATATGTTATCACGCGTGATGACACAGTGTGCACAAACCTCTTCCACAACCACTGTGTCACTACGTATGAGATAAGATAACACCTAGTGTAGTCACGTGACACGTGCCTGGTAGCGCACCTCCCCCCTCCTCATCTCCTCATTCCAGTTAATTAGATCTCCTGGCACGTGCTCCCACTCCCCATATCCTAACATATGGCTTGTTTTGGAACAAACACCGGATTTATTAATTAGCCCAGCTGCTTTTTAACTGCTCTTTAATCTCTCTTTCGTCTCCTCTGTCCTTGAAACGCACGAGATTTAACACAATATTTAATTAACGTATAGTTTTAAAATGTAGTATTTAGATTTCGACAAGAATGTAAATTTCCCAGTGACTGTGTTATCACGTCACTATTTGATTATCGTTTTTCTGACTCTCTCTCGTGTTTCAATATCTATAGTGTTATCCTGGTACTGTGACAATATAAAATTTGCAATCATTGCGTTAGGTCACAATGTTAATTGTGTGCTTTGTCTTTGATGTATGAAATTCCAATATAGAGTACCATTCATTATCTTGATACTATGACTGAATTTTCCAATGATAGCATCGAGACACATCACCATATCATTCACTTGTATTAGACATCTCAGTATCTATATGTTTAAGATTTTAATACACTTTTATTGAAGTTTTTGTGTACTAAACCACCAGTTTCAACCACCCCTTGGGCTTGGGATACTAAAATTGTCTTTCGCTTTACAAATGTCAAACGAGTTAGTGTACTATACCTTTCAATGCGTCCACGTAATTTCCAGTCCATAGTGTTTTCATGTGATCTCGGTGCCGTACTGTTGTTTTCAGACGAGTAAAGCCTAGACAAAATGTATAGAACAATTACCAACAAGTATGCAGAAAATCATCCACATGTGGAGATAAGTGAGGTTGCGATAAGATTGGAACTGACCCTGGCCGGATTACTGAGATATCGGCAACAAAAACTGCATCAAATCAAACATACAAGGTTACTAAAGTTTTACGTGACGTTATACCATCCTCTCACATTCTTCCCTTCGCCACCGTCCACCGTTTCATAAAAAAAACAAGCCAACCATCTTCGTATAGCAGATCTTTGATACCTTGCATGTAGCTGTGGTACCTCATAGAGAGATAGAGACCTCATAATTATAGAGGTTATCTCTGCGTCGAGGCTGCCCCTCTAGCTTTGGCCAGTCGGTGATTTCGGTTTCACCCAGCTCGCAACTTGCCCATTGTGCAGCTGTGAGTTATGTTTTACACTACGTCGACTGATTATATCGCACAGATTTATATGATACTTTCTTCTGCGATCCTCTCACGCTTGTTATTGCATTAGGCCGAATTGATTTTCTCGCTTTCCTCATTAGTTTCCTACGTTATTCAAATTTTGTGATGCAATTTACTACTTTAATATTTCCGCCCCATAAGGTCATGCATGGGTTGCAACAGTGTTTGTGCTGTAGTTAACTTTTAACATTGACTTAAGATATTGCATGTGAATTATCGTCTTATAGAAAATGAGAAGCATGCTTTGGTGCGTGTGTTGGTGACGTTTTAGTGAACACGATGAGACAACTAAATGTCTATCTCTTATGTTAGGGTTCAGTTTACAATTTGTGATTTACGTTTTGATTAGAAAACCAGGGGAAAAGCAATATTTTTCAAATAGACATCTTAAATGTTTGAAAAATGTAATTGATTTAAGTGTCATAATAAATTATTACCGTTTATAAAAGGATCTCCTTGCAAAACTTAATTGTGTAGAATAACGGTACAATATTTGCTGTCGGTCTTAGGAGGGGGGATTTACTATTAATTAGTTTGCAGCCTCCTCACAACATCCATTGACTCCTGCACACTATTACCAATGATTATCATGAGCGCGTGAATGTAAAGTGTCGGGACATTTAAACGGCGCGGCATTTAAATTAAGTGTAGTAGCAGTGCGCTGGTATGTACAGTAGTGTGTGGCCGCGGCCGACCGCTAATAATACAACGACAAGCGCGGGAGGCCGGCCGGGAGGTCCAGGTCCTCACGGGAGTATGTAGAGACTAGAAATAAGACATTCATCTCATAGTTGCATAATAAATCAACCAATTATGATTTAGTTTCAATGTAGACAAACCATACAAAATATAGCCGAAGGGTCGAGACTTAACATCTTTTAATTTTTTCATGAGTTTTTTCATGCAGGCCGTGACTGAATCCCATTTTTAACATTATAACAACGGTACAGTAACAACATTGTTTTTATTCTCTTAAAATTATAGCCCATTAAACATTACATTTAGCCTCATTAACTTTTCTTCTTACACCAAACCAGTTAAAATAATTTGTTAACAACCCTCTCCTTCATTACCGTCCATTTGTAATCAATGGAACATTCTTTATTGACTAAACAATCAATCGTCTACTATTCCATTTAGTGTGGTGATTGTTTACTTTCCAATTAGAAAAGGTCCGCATGCCTTCCTACTTTTCATGTCACAGATCCGAGTATAGTATGTTAACTTGGCCTGATGCGCGAGTTTCTCGGTGAGGAACTCGTTTGCGCGTTTGCGGACTCAAGTTAATGAGCAAATGATGAAATATTCGTATAATTACGTTTAATAGTTGGCATCATTGAGTCCTGGAAACCTGTCGCCTCGTCATCACTCACTGTGGCTGAGACTGACTGCTGGATGCGTGACCTCCTCCGCTTCGTCACCTGGCTACAGCGACGTGGTTACCTCTGGGCACATATGTCGCACAGGGCATAGGCTACTGTGTGGGCTATTATCGTTCATTACATTAGTCATTTGTTGCAACAGGCAGAAAGGCACTGCTGCAGTTGACAACGACATTTCAAAATTGTGATCACCTACGTAAAGCTATGTGTAGCAGTGTAGCTATGTATCGGTGGGTTGTATGATAGCTGATAGTAACGTGTATACGCTGATATAATGGTGTTTTCAGTAAACTATGTTTGGTAGTAGTTAAGAGTATTTCATTATGAAGAGAAGAAAATACTGTTCTGTTAGTTGATGCATACTTCCACGTTCCTATGATAACAAGCGTCAGTCATCTTACATTACTAGCTCGTATCTTCCTCGTCACAGCCCAGCGTTCTTGTTGCTATGGAGTGTTCAAGTATGAATGTTTATGTTTCAGAGTGACGATGGTTCGGGTCCGAGTGCTAAGGCTACTGACAGCCGCCGCTATAATGTGTGCAGCGCTGCCGTCGGTCTACACGGACGCCACAGACTCTAGGTTCATCTCATATGAAGGTAAACAAATATTAAATTTAGTAAAAGTACGAAGTATTAAAACCTAAATAAAAATGGTAAAGCTATGCGTTCAAACGTTTTTAAGTATGACAAAATTATAATGCCTAATTCTATTTCACTCTAACACGGTTAGTAATCTGAAAGCAAGAATGATAGCCACTATTAATCAGGATATTTAAGTTAATTATCGCCCCGAGAAATGTAAAACCCAGATGAATGATTGAGTAGACGCGCCTCCGTGTGTCCTTAACCTGCTTCTGCAGAGCGCTGCATCCTGCGACGACCCACTCGCACTCTTATGTTGGCCTCGGCAGTCCCTGCTGTATATGGAGTCGCCACCTGGACACATGACTGTGGACTGTGGTATCTCTTGTCTCGCTCATTAACAGTTTTACAATCGAAAGATACAAATATAATATTTACAATTGAAGTGCTAGTACAGTATACAGCTTACAGTATTCGCCAGCAGTAAGCTTGAAAAGCAGTTTTGGCTTGGTTTACATTTCTTAAACTCTTTGTTTGTAGTCATTTTTTGCGATTACATGTTTATGTTAACTATTGTAAGGTTATTGTGGACATTTAAAAAACAAAAAAATCTCCAAATGTTTCAGAATAATTCTAGAGTTTTTTTCTTGTCATGATTACACTTCTACAGTTCTCTTTGTGGTTTTAGTGTGTGATTTCCCTGCTTTGGCTAGGCAGGATGTTATCCTGAAATATCGTAAAAACCTTTTACTAATCGTGGTGGTAAATTTCCGCAATAATCCCTTAAATAACATAAACATTTCTTTAGCGTTTTGTATTAGTCAATAATCAATTAAGTTTCGAGTCAGCACTCATTAAGATAAAATTAACACAACAGCTTCAATGGCACTCGACGCTGAGCCGAGAGTACTCGACGGCAGGTTATCGTGGACTGTTGGGTTGATAGCGTTATCAATGGGGTGGTAATGTGTGGTTACAATCACGTACACTGAAGCAGACGACCTTACCCAATAAATCGGACTTTGGTGTACTGTACTGTGTACTGTAGTGCACGCTACTTTAGAGTTTGGGATATCTTTAACTTGGAGACATTTTGAAATACTATACTGCATAGTTTTTACTTAAGCAAAGATTTGTAAATATTGTCAACAAGTTAAAATTACCAGAATTATTAAAATAATTGATCATATCATTGTTTTAATAATAATGCGCACAAACGATAGTATGGTATATCTTAAAGTCAAATCGACGATTAAACTAGTCATGTGACACTTGTATAAATAGATTTTTATTTTTGCATATCGGTCGGGGCGTCAGATTTGAGTTTATTATGAGTAACGTCAACGCTTATCAGTTCACTTGTTGTATTTATAGACTCTTTAATCAATATGACTATTCATATCTTGATTGATTCCAGTCTTTTAGTTCCTGGTACCGTCGTGATATGTGTTTATGTAACAATATAAACACTAACCGAAATGAAAACCTTGGTGTTTATTTACTTAATGCATACTAATAAATTGTGTACTTTATTGAACGTATTTTATGAAACTAGTTTAATGTGTATAAATGCTTTAGATTGAATGGTAACTATTGCAATAAGCGTCTTGGACTTCACAAAATAAAGTAGAATTTCTTTCGGATTGTAGCTCCTTAATATGCCTACTTACTTTCTTGCAACCAATATTAGGCATGTATGTAATTTTATATTCGTTGAATGTTCTTTGATATATTTCTTAATTGCTTGTAAATTTTATTGAGGTAAACATTTTAATTTATTTACGAGCAAAAATGCGTTTAAAGTCAGTAATGCTTTGTAGTTCAAAAGTGCTTGTACAGTAAAGCCATATCACGTATGTTATATAACCTGACCTTGCCAAACATCTGTATACAACATCTGTTAACACATTTCAATGATTCAGTATTGCGAATCAGCGTTGCAAATACACAATTTCAGAGGCGGTTTCTGTGATACTGTTTAGTAAAACTAGAGATACAACCAGAGGTAGCACTGAATGAGAGAATTGCGAGACTTTGGACGCCATTTGTACTAGGGGATTGTGGGGTTATATGTACATACATAAAGCCATGAGCCCATTGACCTGATTTCCCTAGTTGATACCAACCGATAATAATTACAGCTTCTCGATTTTTAAGCAAAGTTGCTGTCAGTGTCAGTGCTACCTGCTACCTTCAGATGTTTTTCTTCTCAGTGATTAAACTCCAGCATTTTATTACCTAAACTTTAATGCCAATATTTCCTGGTACTGTATTCTGTTTTATTGCTGAATTAAATTTTCTGTTGGTTAAAATCATTGGGTGTGTTATATACATTTCCATTTTTTAAATTTTGTAGTTTTTAAGATTTGAAAATTAATTTTATTGTGTTTTTAAATGCACCCTGATGCAATGTTGTTAGATTAAAACTTTTAAATTAATTAGTTTGAACTGTCGTACAAAATACAATAACCAATCAATCATTGTTAACTTATCTAATTCATTATCTTATAGTTTGAAGTAATTTCCCCAAAATGAGGGTTTTAACCTGGTTGCACCATAGTGTTAGTAATTGCGCGGAAACTTGATTTTGATTAGTTCAATCATCACTTCCGTATTAATTTGATTAGCCAGAAAGTGCTGATAACAATGCATATCAAAATTTATCGCTTCAGTATTATCTGACCCAACCCACAGTAGGTCACGTAAACATTAGTGAAAGAATTAGGATATTCACCGAAATACAAACGTTAGAGCTTATTTATTTAGACCTGCAAAACTAAGTATGCATAAAATCATCAGTCAACACTATATAGGTACTCTGCTTTTTGTTAAAAAGTATCATAAAAATCACAATTTCTCTGTATGTATGAATTAGAAGCAAATAGTTTTCCACCTTTTGAGGTTTTTATTTGGGCAGATGTTACTACGGTTGATTTAAACGTAGATGAAATAAAGTTTCGCTTTGCCAATTGTTGAATAATATTGAGATCATAAGTTATCACTGGAAAAGAAGATTCCGTGAGTGTAGTGCGTTGCGGCTTCCTCAGAGCCTCGCCGGACCTGAATTACAAGGTATCCTGTTTCACGTGTAAAAGAAAGTAAGACGTTTCAGTTTCTGAGGACTTTATTCAATCTCGTTAACATTTGACCTTATTTTAACACTCAATTAACAACGACGCGGGAGAGACTCTTATTTACCCAAGACAGTTAATTGGTCCTGCCGCTCGTTATCCGGTTCCTCTTAGTATCCGACTCCTCTTGCTTTTCCAATTATTTCTCATTCAATTACTTTAAATTCCTCTCATGCGCTCGTTTGTTTTGTTTGTATTCTTTGGTAATTGATTAGACCCTCGAAAGCAAATCACTTAGGCCTACCGACCAATAACTGATGTGGCCTGTTATTTCCGTTGTGTCAATAGCATACCGGGTTATTAGAGAGGCATTTTATTTCTTTTGGACGTCGCCTCAATTCTCCTGTTCGGCCAGTTCTCTTTGAATAGTAATAATAACAGAAATCGTCAATATTATTTGTCAGTCAAATTCTTCCTCAGCATTTGTTTTACTCAAGATTGTTTCTACAGGTACCAATTCTACGTACCTACCATATGTTTGCTTACAGTTTGTATTCTTTAGTCATGTTGTTGCGGCGCGTGATGCGCCAATGTTTTGGTAAATAATAAAAGAACTGACACTTTAAAAACGAACTATGAATTTATTGATATGGAAATGAACAAATGATATTAGTGGACTGTATAAATGAACTGTGATGAATAAATTGCTATAATGAACTAATGCGAATGTACTATTGATGAACTAAACTAATGAAATACGTGGAGGGATCTGCCTCACACGTCCTATCCCAAGCTATGGTAAACGAACAATGTTGCTCGATAATACCCTGACAAAAGACTCCTCCCTCACTCAGTATGTGGTTACAGATTTCTAAGAACTGGTGAGGAAGGGTCCGTCCTTTCGCAGAAGGACGATGTTTATGACTGTGTTTAACGCCGACAAGTGACATGAATAGCAGGAAGTACGTTAGAATTTAACAACACATGTGATATGAATTGGTTAACTATTTACTTACAATATTACTTACACTAAGAGCATAAATAAAACAATTAACAATCATGATACTAAACATTCTCCCCCCTTGAAAGTGGGAATGCTTTCAACTATTTAAATATTGAATGATTATAACCTAAATGCAATAAAATTGATATATTACAGTACAAGGGCAATTACAAACAATTCGATGAAAATGGCAATTGCGATGATACGCAAATAAAAACCTTGAATGTTGACTATAAGGGGAGACTAATCAATCAATTACTATAGACTAAGACTAATGAATCTATAATAATATGGCATAATGTGTAAAACGCTATACAAACATACGATTTATAAAATGATCATCAAGTGAAATTAAAGCAGTTTGAAGTTACAATTAACAAAAAATGAAACTCGTACTAAAGGCTCAAATTGAATTACTAAAATGACTATACACATTCATTGATTATGAAACAAACTAATAACAGAAATGCAACAATTTGTTGAACAAATTACTTGAGCGAACACATTTACACAAATATTAAAAATGACTACATTGTTTAACTAATCCTAAACACGATTGATTGATATCCAAATCATCCAATATTGACCAATGAATACATAATTGCAAAAATTGATATTTTACATTATAACGTGATTTAAATCCTAACTTAAGCTGTGTTGTTAATACATGAATAAATATGCAACGAATGAAATTGAAATTATAAATAAGACGACTAAACAACTACAACTAGACTACCATGAAATATTGCTACACTATATACATGAAGTGCAACACTGATCACTCACTTTCACTATGATTGACCATTTTGGTTGACACATGACACAATATCACTAGGATCAATGGTGATGGTGAGGTGGTGGCTGACAGCTATTTTGATGACACTGTTGCTGTCTTGACTGTGGCCACCATGACCTTGCTTTGGGCTTGGAGATGGACGTCA